CCATGTTGTGTACTAAGTAAACTTTTACAGCAGGCCAAAATACACATACTATATGTAACTTGAAAGTTTTATATATTGGCAAAAAGTTTTATTTGTAAAAAATAAATTTTTACAGGTCACATGAATGAACCTGGCTTTAGACGACTCCTGTTTTCAGAAATGTTAACATTAGAATGTTGATCATTTCTATAAATTGAACACACTGAACACACACCAACCCTATAAAAAATATACATACTGTTATCATTAGTGCTCCGAAAAAATCTGATCTGATCTGGATCTGCAGATTTGATCTGAGTCAGATCCGGTTCGGTTTTCAAAATTCTGATCTGTAGATCAGATCAGATTTAAAAAAATCTGATCCGATCAATTTCGGATCGGATCAGATCATAACACAAGAAAATCTGATCTGATCTGAACAGATTCGAATCAGATTTTTTTTAAAATAAAAAAAAAAAAAATTTTTTTTTTAAAAAACTTTTTCTGGACGAACGGACGAAGCCGGACGACCAAGATTTAAAAGAACGAACTAGGTAAGTTCGTTTCTTTTTTTTTGTTTTTTTTACTTGAGGGAATGTATTTAACGGTTCCCTTCTTTTTTAGTAGGAAGCCTGAACGAACGAAGCCTAACGACACAACCAGGATTTAAAAAAAATGAACAAACTATGGTAAGTTCGTTCCTTTTTTTTATTTTTTATTTTTATTTTTTATTTAAGGAAACGTAATTAACATTCCCTTTCTTTTTTTTAGAAAACCTGGACGTGAGATGAAGGAATGACCAGGATTTAAAAAAGAAAATGAACTATGGTAAGTTCGTTTCTTTTATTTTTATTTTATTTTTTTTACTTAAGAGAACGTAATTAACGTTCCCTTTCTTTTTTTTAGGAAACCTGGACGTGAGACGAAGGAACGACCAGGATTTAAAAAAAAGAACGAACTATATTAAGTTCGTTTCTTTTATTTTTATTTTATTTTTTTTACTTAAAGGAACGTAATTAACGTTTCCTTTCTTTTTTTTTAGGAAATCTGGACGTGAGACGAAGCTGAATGACCAGGATTCAAAAAAAAGAACGAACTATGGTAAGTTCGTTTCTTTTATTTTTATTTTATTTTTTTTTACTTAAGGGAATGTAATTAACGTTCCCTTTCTTTTTTTTTAGGAAACCTGGACGTGAGACGAAGGAACGACCAGGATTTAA